TGATTGTGTGCAGAGCAAGTCGATCGGCGAAAAAATCGGCATGGACTCACTTGCAGGCACTACGAAGGTAAAGCGGGGTATGAAGGAAAAAAAAAAAAAAAAAAAAAAAAAAAAAAAAAAAAAAAAAAAAAAGATCGGTAAAACCAAACGACGATCAAAAAGTCTCGCGCGCGTGTGCGACATATGAGTTTATACTAGCACGACGGTCTTTTCGGGCGACGGGCAATAAGGATTAGCCAATAAAAGTTTGTCCGGCGCGAGCGGAGGGATTGTTGGCACTGGCAGCATAACTAACTATTTTATTGAGCCCCCGAGAGCGAGCCGAGCTGGCCACCTCGGGCTAACGTGCCCAACGCTCGTTGCTTTTCGCTCGCTCGCACGCACACGAGAGATGAGCTTTGGCAGCTCGTATACTTACGTTAGATTGTTAACTCTTGCGTGCGGCTATGCTGCTGTAGGTGATGTACCTCTACAAAGCACACACCGGGTGCTATGCCTATGTATTATACATATATCCGCGGCTAAGCTTTCGTGGGAAGGTATATGGGTGTGCGTTTAGGTACTTTACGTCTACGTGTACGTGATGGTATACATGGCACCTCGTTGTGGACTGTCTTAAACTCGGTAAGCTTTAGCGCGAGATCGGAGTGGTTTGGACCCATACTTTTTGGGTGTACTTATGTTGAAATCTATGAAAAATCAAGGGTTTAGGGTGAACACAGTTTCGGATAGATATTTTTTCACGCGCGTCCAGTATTCGCAAAGCCGAGGGTCAAATTGATGACATTGTATAAAATGGCTAAGTAACTTACACACTTGGGTATGGATTATTTTTCAATGTTTTGTAGTATAATTGTTTACTAAAAATGTTACATATTTTTTATGTTAAACAAAAAAAGGTTTTTAATTACAACTGAAAACGTAGTGTTTAACAAAATTTAATGTTTTTAAGAAAAACGTTACAATTTGAATGGAAAAATAATTGAGAAAATGAAAAGAGCCGAAGTATTTGAAAAAGTATTTAAATACCTTCAACAGATATAATGTATTGAATTTATCTGATAAAAAGAAAAAAAAAATTTTTTTTTCTCTATATTGTATTATAAAAATAGTGATGAATAAAAAACTTTCTCACAAAGAAAAATGCAGTTCATTTGAATAAAAAATATTTTTTGTAAAATGTTTAAATACTCAAAAAATAATTGTTACCAACTCGTGAATGATTTTCACGTACGTGTGATTTTCTTTACCGTCACTTAGGTCGAACAACAATACATTCAAACTATTTTTCAAGCACAAAAATCACCTGTTTTAATCTCAATATGTCATTTTGAAACTCGTGATTTCCTCTAACTCATGATTTTTCGGAGATTTTATACTGTACCATTTAATGCAGCTAAGCGGCATTGGATCCACGTGCGTGAATGAGAATAAAAGCCGCACCAAGCGCATTTATATGTGTGGATGATACCTACGTACTTGATGTGTGTATATACACAAACGGGCCACAATAATCGGCTGATTATATAACGTGTGTCCCGCCGTCGTTTTACAATGCATTTATACATACAAGTGTTTGAGAGGAAGATTAGGTCGATAAGAAGAGAAGCTGATGAGTTCGTGATTTTGTCGTCGCGTGGACCATCAGTAAAAGTAAGTATATGTATACATGTAGGAGAATCTGAATTATTAGTTGTACGTAATTTAGTACACAACGTAAGATAGATTTAACACGTAACACTTTTTGATACATAATTTTTATTATTATTATTATTTATTTTTTTCTATGAATTATAACGTGTTTTATTTATTTTGTTTTGTTATTAAGAAAAGTAACCGATGTTATATAATAGTTTTGATTTATTCTACTGTGTGTACATGAGCAATATTTTGTAACTTTTTATTGAAGATGTAGACAATTTTTTGTTCGAGCACAGCATTTTTCTAAACCGTAATTTTATTCGACAAAAGCTCACTATTATTTTTATTTAACTATCCGAAAAAATAGGGCTCAAAACAAACTTATTTACTATTTATTAAAATCAAATCTACAATAACGATTTTTTTTCAAATCCATCAAATGTCGTAAAAATGTTTTTTTTTTCGTCAAGAGTTATTAACTATGGTGATACTGTGGGTCTTTATTAAATTATCCTAATGAGTAATGTCCGGGAACGAGTTACCAAGAAAATTAATCGTTGAGCGCTTGCATTGTTTGTATACGCTGGAGCTTTTACATTAGCAAGAATAAGACTGTGACTTGTTTTTGAACACGTAAAAATCTAAATTTGGCAAATAGAATTTTCAAGTTTTTTTGCCAAATAAACATTTCGAGATCTCAATTTCAAGGTATCAATAGTTTTTTTTTTTTTTTTTTTTGTGTACTACTATTTTTAATTCGATAGGATCTATAGGGTCTAATAAGATATCTGGTTCTCACATGGGAGACTCATTTACGATTAACGGCATTTTTTACGGAATAGAGGCTGGTTAATATAAGTGTACTACAATTAATTAATTGTACGCACAGTTCTTAACTAATTGCCTGGAAATGTAGCAACGTCCAATTTGTCTAAATCATACTTACTTTGAGACAGAATTCGTTCGAAGCTTACTTAAGTAATTATAATAATTACATTTTTGATGAAAAACACTTATGTCAATTATAAATTAGCATCAAGGTATGACAACTTAACGAAATTATTTGTAAAAAATTTGTCAAGCTAACTGTTATCATCGAACAGCACCAGGAACATTTTCGTATCTGAAAATCAAATAATAACGGATCAAGTTAATAATTAGTCCTTTGAGTTGCAGCTCAAGTCGCAACTAGTAAGTAAGTAAGTAAGTGTCAACTTTTGTGCACGATGTCGCTCACGAATGTGGCTGATGGGGATAGCAGTTCTCATTTTTGTGGGGTAGGTTGCAGAGCAAACAGCGCCCTTAAGGTGCACGAGCGTACCCACACCGTTGATAAGCCGTACAAGTGCCAACTGTGCCCGAAAACTTTCACTTACAAATCGAATCTTGAGGTGCACGAGCGTTAATTTTTGTTAATTACAATTTCCTCTTGTACAGCAAGAAAAATATTTTTTATTGCAAATCATGAGAGTGTACGATAATTTTTTTTTTTCCTTTTATATATAATTTTGGTCTTTGTAATATACATGTATACTTTTATGTGTTACAGTACATATTTAATCAAAGATCGGAAGTATTTGTATGAAGGAAAAAAAAAAAAAAAAAAAAAAAAAAAAAAAAAAAAAAAAAAAAAAAAAAAGAAAAAAAGAAAGAAAGAATAAAAGATCGGTAAAACCAAACGACGATCAAAAAGTCTCGCGCGCGTGTGCGACATATGAGTTTATACTAGCACGACGGTCTTTTCGGGCGACGGGATCAATGATATTCAAAATTTTTGAAACTCTTGAAAAAAAAAAGATTTGTAATTGTAAAAAACGATGTTATGAAGGATAACTAAACCATGTTTTACGCTGTTGGATGGGGTTATCATATTGTATTTTTTCTTCTTTTTACTGCATTTTTTAAACCCGTAAACTAATTGATGTACTTACGGGCCCCCTCTGCGTGGAGGGTGTTGACTCTAATCGCACCCCGTCTTCTCTCATTCAAGTTGTGAACTAGTGATTACTGACCCAATTTTTTCAGACCCAATAATTAATCCCTTCCAATATCTCGGTATCTCAACAGCTCCTCCCACTCCCAACTATACTCCCATACCTAACTAAAGCGCCCACGGAGCCTATCCTCGGGTCTTATCAAGTACCTCAAAGCCAATGGAGCTAAGGCTTCTCTTTTAATTTTTTTTTTTTTTTTCATGAATTTCATAGTTAACGAAATTTATTCGATTCCCAATACTCGTGAATTTTGAAATGTGCAGAATCTTAGTTGAATTATCTTGTACATCTTGCATAATGAATTTGCGGAAATAATATAGATGACCCTTCTATGATTTCAGACCTAATTAAAACTCGTAGTTATCAAAGCAATTAATTTTAACCACTATTTTTCCGTACATTCAAATGAAAAGTTTAAATATGATAATATTCATTAACATATATGAACAGGCTAGAATTACTAAGTAATTTAGCGTGAGAAATTGACTGAAAAAAAAAAAATATTGTGAAATTTTTCAAACAACAAGAGCTGTGGTAATCAGTTAGTTACTCGGTGTGAAAATTCATGCTCGCACAGATATGATTAACGATACGGAAAATGGAAATTCCTAGTTATTACTCGTGCGAATGCTTCCGTCTGCGTAATTCAATTTGCAAACATCTACATTTTGGTTTCAGTCCGTTGCGTTCTTATTCTTGATGCATGTACATCATTCAACACGAATTTTTATTGTAAATATTTTAAGTATATGATTGTCAATACTAAAATGATTTTGAACATTATACAAAACCGATGAGCACAACATCTTGAATATCCTAATACAAAATATGTGAATACCGTACAAAAATTGTTTTAACAGATATACCCGGATGATGTATCAATGCGTTATTGCTGAATCGTATTCAAAATCAGGTTTATGTTCAGGAAAAGGAATTTTGATTACATTTGTACTTAACTTTCGACGTGTACGAAAAAAAAGAGTTTTGGAAAGAAAGTAAGGAGGTAATTCGTAGGAAACTAAAGAATTCAAAGTAAATGGTTTTCTTGTAACAAACGTGTATTTGAAATATAATTTGAATTGACTTTTTTACAGTACAACAAGTACCCAATACTTAAAAATAAGTACAGGTTAAAACTATTATTTACATATTTACTTTACAGTCGATCCAAGTTCATAATTCTGTAACAATCAAATAATCACATAAAATCAATACTATGACCGATTGATTATTTAACAATAAAACATTTTTGGGATGTAAAAATATTTTTAATTTACATTAAAATAAAATCAAACAATTTTTGAGTTAATCCTTTTTTAACAAATAGCCTTAAAATTTTTCGTATTGGTCATTTTTTTTTAACAGATCAGTTTTTTAAAATTTTCAGCATTAACATAAAGTAAAAAATTTTGGATTCTCAGTCTCCAACGTCTGAATCTCCGTCTCCAATGGCATTAAGGAAATTGAACGCTATACCAAGTAAAGCAGTTCCAAGTAAGTCACCTACTGCTGTTAAGTACGGAATTGCGGAACTGTCAGGGTCCATACCGCTGGCCCACATCCAAACAACTAGTACTTGAGCAATATACAGCAACAATATGACCTATAACATTGTTTGTCCAAATTTATAATGTTATTATATTTTGATTTTCATAAAAAAGACGGTTTACCTGTGTGAGTGCAGCTATTAAGTAAACGGTCATGAATATTGGGGTAAAAGAAGTATGGCCAGCTTGTAAATAACTTATGGTATAACTAAAAATTAAATGACCAGGAATGACCATCATTAAAAGTACTCTCGCCGTTCTTGCATGACCACCTTAAATTTATCATTAAAACGAGGTGAATTTGACGATATCAAAAAAGATACATGCACTAGGAGCATTAAAACGCTCCGAGTTGGTAGTTAATCTTAAATTACCTGATGAAAAAAATGCATAAAAAGGACTGATGCATACAACAGGCACTTCGTTTGTTTGTTCTTTGTGCATCGACGTCGAGATTCGACTAGCTTGAACAGCAGCAAGATTGCCCCCAACTCCATTTATAACAAGCTGGAACACAGCAATGCCCTTATAGTTTGAAATCGTATAATCAAGAATTAAACCTCCAGCACTGAAACAATGATAATAGTATTTAATTAGATCTTAGTTATTGATATGGATCAAATTAAACTTAAATTAGCTTTTGTAAGCGTTGATGCTTGAAGTATTGACGATATTTAACAATTACTGACCTGCTGATCAGCATAGCAGATATCACAGGTGTCCAGCCATGATCTAAGACTTCTCTGGTGAAAGGATTTTTGTAAGCAATATATCCCCAAATTGGAGTTGCAAATATAAAAAATATTATCACAGATGGTGCTATCCAAGAAGCAGTACCTAAAAATATGTTTGAGTACACCAATAAACACACATAGACAATAATTATATTTAATTTTAAATCGTTTTCGTTCGAGAATAGATAAATAAATAATGTCAAGTGGCCACTAACCAATAAAATTATACAAAAGAGACGATATCCAAGACAGCAGAGCTAAAGTGGTCAAATCTCCTAAAGAGGCAGCGATTGGTGTAGCGACATTGTCAGGATTGATGTTGAACTGTCTCGAAAATAGAATAACCGCAACCATGACTATACCTAATAGAAAACTGGCAACAGATGCTGTTAACAATGAACTGGCACAGAGAAGCAATCCATGATGCATGTCAAAGTGAGCCTCTGGTATCCATCCGAGTACTACTGCAGCCAATGACGCCAACATGCCAACTACCATGGCTTGACACTGAATCAATGCTAAATTTCCAACAACTAAGCTCCACTTTTCTTTTCTCGTGTCCATGTGCCCAAGATTAGCTTGTGTAGACAGGCGGGAGGCTAACGTCATTTCCAGATTGCCTTTTAATCCTAATAAAGCTGGAACCAGAATGTAAACTTCTGAAACTTCTTGGAAGACTGGCCAATGCTGGGAGTGTAAATACAGTTGATGAATAATTGATTGTTAATTTATATTATTTTGGTTGATACAATTTAAAAATTCACCTGAACAAGATCAAGAAGCAAACTGGCAGCCACCATTCCAAAGCCAGCAAGTAAAAATGGAATGAACATCTGAATTGAGATGGACCAAACATTTTCATCATCTTTGCCAGAAATATCAAGGTCTTTCAAAAAGCTATCTGATTTTTTCACGGTAACATCAGGTATGGGGGTCGATATGAGACGTTTCGTGTCAAATTCTTCACTGAATTCGTCATCTGAATCAAATTCCAGTAACTCCAATCTAATGCCATCCAGGTCCTGACCAAGCGTCTCTCCACTGCCTGAACCCACCATTTTTCTTCTAGATTTAGAAGATGGTTGTCTTTTGGATTTCCTTTGGCGTAGTACACTAGTATTGTTTTTATTCTTTGTTTCTGACTCTGCATTGTGCATTCTAGAGTCCAAAAGACCAAAAGTCAACACAAAATACTGAAAATAAAAATAATACAATTTTATTTATTATAATTGTACAGTGTCGTTGCATTTCACAACAGTAATAATTTATGAAGTATGGAACTTATTATGCAAATTTTTGTATAACAATAAAACATACATAATTAACTGGAAATTACAAGGAACGTTTTAAATGGAATAAATTATCAATAAATATATGATGTAGTTTACTTTGAGGCTTCTCTATTTTAGTCTATTTCAAATAACTTTTAATAACCCATGACTTAATTTAAATATAGATCTTAGAAAGTTGACTCTAAATTGGCTCTACTAGTAGAGAAAACATTTTTCTTCTGCAAGTACTGGAAAAAGCTTTTTTGACAAAACTAAAACCAGAATTAACTGTTTACAAAAAATAATTATATCCTATCGATATTTTCAATTTGTATCATCACAAAAGAATAACAGAAACACTGTATGAGTACTGCTGTGCACGTACCGAACCAACTATACACTGTATGTTTGTAATAAGTACAAGTTTTACTATGCATCTGCCTGAAAATATATTATACGATCTTGCAAAGCATTATGTGACTGTATGTACATATGTTACATTTTATTAAATCTATGCACAGCCAAGTGAACAATGTTTGTACCTACAAATGGTGATTAAGATCAAATATAATTGGGCAATAAATGATTAAAAAAACGTAATTTTATTGTAGAGAACAAAAAGTATGCTAAAGTATTTTCTTATCAACATAAATTTAAGATTATTATTTTTTTACTTATCTTGAACTTCTCTGGAGCGGTATTTACGTTAAGCGTGCTTTTAATCTAATAATGAGTGAACTAATGAAGAGAACAATGTATATGCGAATTTACATTTTTAAGTGATATATAACAATTAGTATACTCACTTTTCCACAATAAATAGGGTTAAAAATTAATAAACAACACTTGTGAGAAATACATAAAATGTAATTTACAGTTATTACTGTTTATTTCATGGTTTGGCACAACAAATTTTCGTTAAAATTGAGGAAAAATATTAATTTGGGTCACTATTAAGAAAAACGTAAACATTTATTTGAGATATGCGCTTTAAGGGCATAATCTTAAATCACTTTAAATTGGATAAGTCAAAACACAAGTGATAATAGTATCAATGAACATTGTTTATCAATAAAGCAAGGCCGTTATCTATTAATTATCATGGTGCTAGTGGATGTAAGTGTGTATGGATAATCTACAAGTGTATAATAAGCGCTTACGGAATACAGATTGTACTGTAAAATAATTTTATTTTATTTTATTTTCTAACTTCTTTGCAGCAGATACTTAAATTTCTTTCATGTTTTCACAGGTATTAAGTATTAGTATAATCCTATTAGCATGAATTAGTGTTCTTTATAACAAATATTTAAAAATGCATCTTAATAATATATAATAAGTATGAATTAAACAAGTTTAAAATAGGAACAGGTAAATGAAAAAAAAGCTGTCAAGATTGGTGTTTACAGTAACAACATTAACTTAAGTGCGTTGTAACAGAGTAAATATACATGAGTGATGGTACGACTTATTACGATGTATAAGTACCTCCACTTACCTCGACTTATCATCTCTTGATGTACTTATGTGAAGTTCGTCGGTACCACAGTCTTATAAAACAAAGGCTCAATAACTGAATTACCGAATAACCATATCCATGAGTGTAATGTAGAAGTATGTACACAAGTCAAAATACAAAAAAATAATGCAGAAATGTCAAGCAGATGTTGTTTCTTCTGCTATATTTGGGTCCCCGGTCTATTATATTATATAGTTATTAATTTGGTCCTTCGGTAATCGGTTCGGTCTACTATAACCTTCTGTTTGTGATGTATATAGGTATTTGTTTACGTTTTGTCAGAGTACTGCCGCACACCACAGTCCACACTCCACACCCGCTCTCGAGTTCCACGTATACGTCTATACGAACCGTATTATACGAGTGCACGAAAGCGCGCACACAAGTTGCAGAGCAACAGACGGTTTCTGTCATTTACTTTAAGTACAGCTTATAATTGTGACATCGTTAAGTGGGAAAGAGATTTGTTACAAAAAAAAAATATATGTACCAAGTAGTGCCATATGGTCGATTTGATTAAACCATTAGAATATTTAAACTTTTGGAGGTAGATTTTCGGAAAAAAGATAAATTTTCAACTTGCCGCAAATAAAACAAACAAGATTACCATTTTGTTTTATATCTACCGAATTAGTTGCGGCTGGTTTATAATTAAGAAAATGGCTCTACTGTAAGTATGTAATAATTTATTTGGTCAGCGCCATCTAGCGTTGCGGATTTCTGATCTAAAAAGTAGCCCTAAAATTCTCAAGGAGAGTTTTGGGCATTTTTGGCTCTAGAGCCAATCAATCAATTATAAACCAGCCGCAACAACTCTCATAGATATAAAATAAAAAGTTAAATTTGTCTGCACTATTGGCGGCAAGTTTACTATTTATCTTTTACCCAAAAGTATAAATATATAAAAGATCAACATTCAGGTAGAAAATGAATTGCAAACTTGCCGCAAACAGCACAGACGAGGTTAAACTTTTATTTTACATCTGTGATAGTAGGGGCGGCTAGTTCATAATTAATTAAATGGCTCTAGGGCTAAATTGCCTAAAGCTCTCCTTCAGAATTTCAGAAGCAATTTTTGGCAAAAAAAATTTCAACCGCTAGATGGCGCTAATCCACATAATTATTACTACTCATAGTAGAGCTATTTAATCAATTATAAACCAGCCGCAACTAATTTTATAAATATAAAATAAAAAGTTAACATTGTCTGCACTGTTGGCGGCAAGTTTACAATTTATCTTTTACCCGAAAGTATAAATATATAAAAGATCAACATTCAGGTAGAAGATAAATTGCAAACTTGCCGCAAACAAAACAAACAACGTTAAATTTTTATTTTACATATGTAGTGTAGTGGCGGCTGGTTTATAACTAACTAAATGGCTCTAAGAAATCTATTGGAGCCGATCTGTTAGACCCTCCGCACTCTTCCTGATTCACTACCAATCATGGTTTGTCGGTATCAATTCAGAAATACGGTCCCTGCCATACCGACAGTCAACGCTCTTACCAACTGAAAAGGCACGAACAATTTTGACCGTCGGCATGGCAGGTACCTATCAAACTGGGTTAGTTAGCGATCTATCGTACCGACAGTTGTTACGTTGCCGTCTTTTTCAACGGGTAAGTGAGTTGACTGTCGGTACGACAGGGACCTATTTCTTCGTAGATACCGATAAACCATCAATTCTTTCTAGGGAAAAACCCTAGGTCGAAAAGATAGAGCTCAAAATCTAGGGTTCTTTAAATATGATTTTCACTAGTTAGATACAATCTGATAATCACAACGCTAGACTGCGCTATCAATAAGTACGTAGAGTGTATACAGTCTATAGGGTGCATTTTCCTTGTGAATTTCAAAGAAGTGCGTGTAGGGTCTAACAAATCAGCTTCAATAGACCCTCCGCTGCGGACACTAGTGAATCTCTAGGACGAGAGCGGAGGGTCTAAGGCTCCAATAGATTTCTGAACTAATTAGTGGCCTTAAAATTCTAAAGGAGAGCTTTAGGCAGTTTAGGCCCTAGAGCCATTTAGTTAGTTATAAACCAGCCGCAACTAATTTTGTAGATATAAAATAAAAATTTAACACCGCTTGTGCTATTTGAGGCAAGTTTACAATTTATTTTTTATTCGAAAGTGTAAATATATAGGTGGTCGTTATTCGTGTAAAAGATACATTGTAAACTTGCCGCAAACAAAACAAACATGATTATCATTTTGTTTTATATCTACCGAATAAGTTGCGGCTAGTTTATAATTGATTAAACGGCTCTACTATGAGTAGTAATAATTGTGTGGATCAGCGCCATCTAGCGGTCGAAATTTTTTTGGCCAAAAATTGCTTCTGAAATTCTGAAGGAGAGCTTTAGGCAGTCAAGCCCTAGAGCCATTTAGTCAATTATAAACCAGCCGCCACTACTATCACAGATGTAAAATAAAAATTTAACGTCATTTGTTCTATTTGCGGCAAGTTTGCAATTTATTTTCTACCTGAATGTTGATCTTTTATATATTTATACTTTTGGGTAAAAGATAAATAGTAAACTTGCCGCCAATAGTGCAGACAAATTTAACTTTTTATTTTATATCTATGAGAGTTGTTGCGGCTGGTTTATAATTGACTAAATGGCTCTAGGGCTAAATTGCCTAAAGCTCTCCTTCAGAATTTTAGAAGCAATTTTTGGCCAAAAAAATTTCGACCGCTAGATGTCGCTGATCCAAATAATTATAACTACTTATAGTAGAGCCATTTAATCAATTATAAACCAGCCGCAACTAATTCGGTAGATATAAAACAAAATGTTTATCATGTTTGTTTTGTTTGCGGCAAGTTTACTATTTATCTTTTTTCCAAAAATATACGTTCAAAAGTGTAGATGTTTTACTTATGATTTAATAAAATCGATCACATGGGACTACTTTTTCATTTTTCAAATATTTCCTTTTTGTTTTTTTTTTAATACATAAAAAATCATGTTACGATTATGCCATTTTTGGTTTAATTATAAGCATACAAAAAAAATGAACACTTTGTAATAAATTAATCGTTAGGTGGATATTGATTGATATTCGATAAATACAATATTCATAAAATAAAGAAATGAACAATCGACTGATGAGTAAGAAATGAAAGTAAATTCAATTAAACAATCAATAATCAATTAAACATTTATTCATAATTACATTAACTGAGTGCATTTACTCTAGCTAATGTTACATTTTTAAAAAGCCGTAATTTTTAATAATTAACAAAAGAACTGTTAAAATTTGTTAAAAATAATATCACCATTTTTTAAGTAAGTTGTATTTTTCAAGTAACATTAACTAAGTATACACTAAGATATTTCTTATTTGGGTATTAAAAAATTTAACTTTTAATTATAAAAAAGGTTGTACATGGAATATTAATTTCTCAAAGTTAGTTTTTATTCATGCAACATTATTTTTAAAATTTAAATAAAATAAAAAAACGACAAAGTGACTGGTTTTTTGTATAATTTTTTCCAAGAGTTGTACCATAAAAAAAATGTGATGAAAAAAAAAAAAACTATCCGTACGAACAAACAGTATCGCGTTATCTCGTTTTGATATGGATCTTACACAAGCCCTTGCACAAATTAAATTTAAAACCAAGCTTTTGTCACGTCCCGAAGCCGTTTCACCTCTTCGAGCCCCTGGTCAAACTGCAACTGTATATATAGAAAGGGTTTTAATTGTAACGCGCTCGTCTTCTTCCGTGTACATTTACAGGTGCAATCTAGACTCTCTCTCTCTCTCTCGATCTTTTTGTGCCTTTTGGCGAGTTATTTATACACGGGCTTGCACTGCAGAACTCGTGTTGAAAGCGCGCGATTGTGCGGATGGGACCGTCCCTGTCGAATCAGCTCGCGAGAATTATTGTGTCTCCCTCGCGGGAGGTGAGCGCCAAAAGCAAGCCTTTATATTTTCGCGACCGTCCCTGCACTAGCTTTTTCTCGAGAATTGATTTGAATTGTGAGCATCTTGGCGTTGGACGCAGTGGAGTTTTATTTGTTATTTGTGACCTTTGGGTCTGGTGATCGATAGCGAATTTATTTGTCCATCTCATTGGGTGTGTTACTTTCTTAGTGCTATTTCTATTCTAATACAAGCCAGTCGTTTGGTTGCTGAATCGCAGAATTCATGTCTTTTTATAGGATGAGGTCTTTCAGATAATATTAGGAGGTATTTAATTATTTAATTTACTTGATGAGCTTAACCAATTAATTCATTCATTCATATCAGCGCAGTACCAATTGCAATTCAAGTTTGTGATAAATTGACTTCGTTAAACGGAAAAAATCGTGCAATAAGTTTTTTCTAAATTGTAGTACATTATTTAAAATTTATTTTCAGAAAGACTTCTTTTTAATGTTTGTAGTCTATAATTTTCAACTGTCGTTCGAGAAAATTGACTTGAATTATTTGCAAGAGTCTTACGAGAATAAGGAATTCACGTACGGTCATGGAATTTTTTTTTTTTAATTTATATGATTATAATTCTTAATTAGTTGATACTGGTAATAGTCTATAATTATTAAAAATTAAAAAAAAAACCCAAAGATTTAACCAAGATCAACGCTTTAAACAATAAATTAGTTTGCAATTATAAAACGTCAAAAATTGACAGGAACACTCTTTGTTTAAACTTATTATATTAAATTTTGTACAATATAGTTAAATTTAGCTTTGCGAGTGAAATTATAATTAACTTTTTAAATTATTTCCATGCATACGGTCAAATTTAGTAACTATGCTAACTACTACCTGTAAATTTTGTACAATTTATGAATCGAAAATTAATTATTTTTAATGAGGTGCGCGTACTCAAAGCGAAACATTTCGAGAATATTATATCTTGAGATTTATTCGAAAGAGGAGACAATCGAGCGAAACGAGAGCCAAAGAGTATGTATGTCTGCGACTTATAACTTAATATTTTTAACTATTTTCAACCTCTTTCATTTTATACATTTCATATACGTATACCGAAATTTTTTCGATCCCTTTTTGAGTCCAATTTTCTTCTTATCCAAATAACTTTAGCATAAAATGTATGTAAATCAACTACACTTTCAAGTACCGCAATTACGAATTGTTAAAAAAAATATTGGCATCTTGTTAAAACGAGTTCTATTACTTTATTATACTTTTATTTTTATTAGCCATATCTCTACGGATCCACATCTGTTACATAACTTATCCATCAGGTATTGCGCAATGTCTTGTATGTCATTGATAAAAGCTAATGAACCTAATGGAAGCTATGTTTAATCTTACCAGAGAAACTATTTCCAACTCCGTATCACTCCAAGTATATTTCGATGCCTAATCACAGGAACTTATCATATCAAAGTAGATTAAAAAAAAAAAAAAAAAAAAAAAACATCGTGCATCATCATTTTTGAGCTGATTTGTTTTTAAAATACATTTTTGAGATTACACGTTGTTCAACTCAAACAAAACAAACATGATTATCATTTTGTTTTATGCTCTACTGTAAGTATGTAATAATTTATTTAATCAGCGCCATCTAGCGTTGCGGATTTCTGATCTAAAAAGTAGCCCTAAAATTCTCAAGGAGAGTTTTGGGCATTTTTGGCTCTAGAGCCAATCAATCAATTATAAACCAGCCGCAACAACTCTCATAGATATAAAATAAAAAGTTANTAACAAACACACATCACGACGCGCGCGAGATGATTTCCCTTCCAAAACGTATACAGGCGGAACGAGCTTTTTCGTACGTACACAAATACAAAAAAAAAAAAAAAAAACATCGTGCATCATCATTTTTGAGCTGATTTGTTTTTAAAATACATTTTTGAGATTACACGTTGTTCAACTTGGATATCGGTACACACGAAAATCTCAATGATGGCAGGGATGTAATGTTAGTTGCATTGATAACAATACCTTTTTAAAAATTATAATTTAGTTAAAAAAGAAAATGCTACAACTCATCCATTGGTAAATGTTAGCTTGGCGAAACGAAGACGACCATCGCGAAAATTCATTTTCGACCGAACCTTGACATTTCACTCGAAGAACCAAAGCTGCATTATGAAACAAAACATGATCGTTTCAACTCAACAAAATACACACGAAACGTCAATCAACAACACGATCACACCTACGCATGTATATATATATACCTGTACAAAAGTGTATCCAACTCGACGAGGAGCGAACAAAACGCATATAGCCGTCCCGCTGCAGCACACGCGGCGCACGAGAAAGCTCGGCTCGTTTGAATTTAAAAAATGCGCTCTTCTCGCGACGCGCCTTAACACTCCTTGGGCCACGTCCAGATTAATCTGGGTGTACGTAAGAAGGTGCCGTTTCCTCTGCTCTCTTCAACTTTCAGCGTCGGCTCTCTTCGTCCCATATCTCACGGGCCAGTTACCTTTACCTTTTTACGTTTTTGTTTTTTCGACGTATAGTCATCTCTGATACATGCATTCGCATATATAATATATATTCACGTACTTATGTCACGTTAGTTTTGATGAATGGCTTTGCAGTGTGATGTGATGTTTAAATTAGGAACATTGACACTTAACTTTTCCTCGAGCCAGGTATCGTGTAGTATCAATCTTAATGATGGATGTGCCAAAGCATACGAAAAACCGAAGTGCGTGAAGATTTCTACCTGGCGAAAAATTTAATTTTAATAAAAACTAGTAAAAACGAATTCCTTGTAGGAATCCTCGTGAGAATTATTTTGCTGGAAATTTTGAAAGCGGCGTGACAACATTTATTCTACAAATATGTTTGTGTAGAGTAATAAGATTCGTGTGACTTTACTAATTAAAGTATTTTTAATTAATTAAAAAAAAATAGTAATAATACATAAAAGCTTATCGGAAATAATATGAGCACGACAAAGGCGATTATGCCGTTTAAATATTTTTGAGGAGTTGTATTACCTTGGTGATTTTCTATTTCATTTTCATCCTGTATGACATTCCAAACGTGGAAAAAACAAATTAAAATTAGTAGTAGTTGTTATGAATTGTAAGTAGTTATAGCTTACAATATTTATTGTTTGTTATCAATTACTATGAAAACACCGAGTAACTAATAATAATTTTTATAAAGTAGAATTGATTGTCAATAAAAATTATTTATTGATGTTATTTAATGAAGCGAAAATCGAACCTCATTATTCAAGTCAGATTTTACGAGCATGAAAAAAAAATTAAAAACTATTAAAAAGATTGATTAATAGCAAACAGCAGATAAATGATAAATATTATTCTACACTAGTACTCCAATCACCGACAAAATACCAAGCCAACTATAACACCTGAATCGTATAAACTCCGAACTTTCAACTCTTTCGTCAACTGTCATATTTTTATGAATCAATAATTCACAAAAAAATAATTGAAGTGGTTTAAAAAATGAAATGAATGACGCGAACATTAGCGTCCTTGTCCCCCTAAAAATTAAAAAAGTTCAAACGAAGTAATAATAATAATTTAATATTAATAGAAAAAAAAACTTGAGTAAACTTTTTGCACCGATGCTCTTATTGTTCTCATGAAATTGCACTGTGTAGCTCCACGATTGGCCACGCGGACAGTCATCAAAATGGGTCGAAAGTCAAAGCGCCGGTCCAAGACACCCAACGAGCCTGCACCAAAAGCCACCCCCACCAGCCTCGGCTGTCGTACCAACAAAAAACCCTCAATCCCCATGACCGATCGCCTCGATCTGCCAGCTTACCACGATGACGAAGACTACGACGACGAGGATGAGGTTCAACTGTCGTTTCGCCCGCGAGTTTACTTCAGCCCCAGCCTGTGCCAGCTGTGCTCGAAGGCTTGCATCGGCGAGCTCGGGCTCCCCTGCGACTCCTGTCGCATGATCGTGTACTGCTCGGCCGAGCACCGCCTCGAGGACGCGGCGCGCCACGGCCAGCTGTGCGCCGTGCTAACGAGGCTCTGCCGGGACACGGACAGCCTCGCCCTGGCCAAGGACCTCGGGCCCGAGGAGTACCGGAGCTTCCGCGTGGGGCTGCTGTCGGTGGCGGAGGCCGCGCTCTGCCGGCCGATGGAGCCGTGGGAGCGCGAGGTCCTCCTCTACCCGCGGCTGTGCCGGCTCTGCCACGGCTCGCCGCCCCTGGAGTGCTGCCCCGCCTGTGGGATGGAGTTTTTCTGCCCGGGCCACGGAGCCAGCCACGGGGCCCACTGCGACCAGCTGCGCGTCTTCAGGGGTGTACTCGAGGCCCAGGCGGAGCGAGGATTCGAGGCGCCCAGGATACCGGATCTGGTGGTGGCCGTGGGCGGCGATGGGCTACCGGGGGACTTTGACGCGCTGATGGGGGAGGTTTTCGCGCCCTGCGACTACGAGAGGATGGACTGTTGCTCGTACGCCGCGCTGTCGCAAGCCGCCAGTCCGGCGCTCACGGCTTTTCACGGGCTGAGGTGCTTGGCCGGACTGGACCCGGCTGGACGAGGCGCCCTGGTGGGTTCACCTCGTGACTTTTACCGAAACTTCATTACGAGGCCTACTTTTCTCGGATTCGCCCGAGTGCGCGTACAATCACTATCGGAAAAGTACACATGATTGTGTGTGAAAGTGTGATTGTGTTCGTAGTTGAAAAAAAAAATATATATACATATACAATTACCCACCCCTACGTAAATTTTGGGAATAAAAGTATAAATTTTCTATACCATCGAATTAAACGTACAAAGTCAACGGGTACTTTGTTATATGTGTATTAAATTTAAAATTAAAAGTATATTGTATACTTTGGGATGAAAATTTTTTGTTGGCCCCGTATCTCAATGATAATTTGTTTTATTGAAGATTGAGTGTAATTCAACCCAGTATTAATTGCGTTAAAACATAAATAAAATTAAAATCATGAATTAGGATAATGCTGTAAAAAATACAGGATGGAACGAAAATTGCGAATTTTTTCAGAGAGGCGAGTCTTTAACGATTCACGTGATCGGCGCGGAGCTGCAGTTCGAGTGCGCGAACCTCTCGGTCTGGGAAAAGCTGTTTTTACACTTGCTGCCGAGCCTCCGTAATCTCAGGCTGGAATTTTGCGGTCCTGAGCTACAGGTGCCCCCGGACATTGCTGAGATTCTCCGGCATCCGAGGTTGTGCGCCAACTGTCGAACTAAGAAACGCAAGATCGACGTTGCCTTCCACTGCAACAAACTTTACCATCAAATTGAAACCGGGAGACCTGACATGGTCTGCTTGTTCAATCCGGGATTATATAGGACGACTGGATTTGCTAATCAGGTTTGTTTCATGGACAATAATTTGCCTAGTATTCAAGTGTGTCATATTATTAATTACACAAAAGTGTGGATTAACAAATTTGTTTATTTACTTGATTTGCACGCACTTGAACCTGGTTTTTAATGACTCAAGTATTGTTATTTTCTCATGTTTTCCTAAGAAAAAATATTTATTTAAAAGTTTTTACTAATTAGATAATTACTTAACTTTTCCTCGAGCNTTTTTTTTTTTTAATTGTTCGGGTAACGTAAAATTGGTAAGTAAAATATTTATTAACATTTCCATACTTATATCACAAGTGAAAAAGTGGTTGATAAGGTAGTAATCAGTTTTGTCTTACCGACAAAAGATACATTTGACAATTGAAATGCCTTTTGTACACAAAATAACTTCTTGAAATGATAATGCAAAATTATTTAAAAGAGTTTTTCTAATTTTTTACGACAGTGAATCAATGTTTTAAAATTTTTTCCCAAGTCTTTTCATTTATGATATAAAAATAAACTTACACAAAATACAAGTAAATTAATTTTTTAAGCAAAATAAAAGTTTCTTCTCGATAGTCAAACGTTTGGCGATACTTCTCTGATTATGAGTGCTATGTAGCCCTCCTCTTCCATCTCCGATATGGTCTAGTGGCTAGGATACCTGGCTTTCACCCAGGAGGCTCGGGTTCGATTCCCGGTATCGGAATATTTTTGTTTTAGTACTCAATATTCTCTTCAATGTGACGTTTCTCACAACTTCTATTGGAGGATGATGATTTATTATGTACTAATTATTTGTAAGGCAAATTGTTTATCGAAGTGTTAAGCTTATTACACTTAAAACAAGCTAGAATTTGTGTTGCAATTTGAAATTATCAAACATAATTACTACTTTCCTAATGAAAAAAAGATGAAAGTTTGAATTGTTACATTTTATTTACCCTTTAAATATGAGGTTGAAAATAGTAAACATCAACATATGTAGCAAATAAGTAATAAAATAGATGGATAGAGGCAAGTAGGAATGCTTCGTACATATTTTAAAAATATTTTTCTGATGTCCAGAATATTTATAACAAATATTTTTTTTAGTTTGTTTTACAATCTGTGTATACGTTTTACGATGTAATACGCGAAAAAAATTATAAAATTTTTAAAGAAAATTAATGGGCTCAAACAAATATTTGAACATAAAAGTTTGAGTCATTTAGTCATAATCTCGTTTTATAAAACTGTAAATATAACAATCGTCACTCTATCAAAAATTAACACAACCTCTACACACTAAGTGTAGATTACTGCAGACTGCGGGAAGGTTGGATGTTTAAATAATTTTTTTTCTATCTTAATCCTTAGGATTATATCTTGTCTTTATGGCATTTTGATATCATAAAAAGCTCAAAGTAGTTAAAAATAATTAAATTTTTTTCCAATTATATATTCAAGCACATTGTAGATAATGCTTTTATATTTTTGAAATTTTACTGACAATTTCGTTGATGCAACTTCAATGGTGTGAGACTGTACCATTAGTATTTAATTAATTTACAATTTTAATAAAACACATCTACAATGATAAGAGAAATAGAACAGTCTGAAATACATTTTTACACGTTTATTGTTACAAAAAAATTTTCTTCATTTCAATTCAACAAATTTTTATTTGCAAATAGATTAAATTTTCACTTTTTATTAATTACTTTTAATAGCATGAATAATAAAACTTAATGCATTCGATCGTATCCATGACCATCTACCCGTAACTGGATTAAAACTAAATCCACGAGTCAATTTTATTTTGCAGCTATCTGTAAGAAGTAAGCGATTTAGAGAAATATTTCTTTAAACTCGTATGAAAATCGCAATAGCTTACATTTTTGCAATATTTTTATGGTATCTTCGGGACTTATGAATTTCTTCCAGTCGTGAGTACCCACTGGTATTATCCTCAACACATACTCTGCCAGAATAATCCCACAAACCCAAGAAGTAAAGGTTTTGTTCACCGTTGAAACCATTATCGATCCCTTGGGTTTTAAAACTTCCGTACAACTCTGCAACAAACCAATAAAATAATATATTGTCCAGAGTTCAATATCACCTGTGCACATAAAAATATCATCGTACTTTTAAAAATAGCTCCTGGTTGTCGACGTGTTCGAGAACCTCACACGACACAACAGCATCAAACTGCTCCTTATTTTCCATCGAAAAATCCTCGATAGTCGAATGAACGTATTTTAAATTTGACGCTAAGTTCTTGTCCAAGGATGCGTGTGCCTTGGCTATGTCGATCAATTTCTTGGTAGCATCCAACCCAGTAACCTGAGCCCCTTGTTTGGCTAGACTCTCCGAAAGAATCCCTCCACCACATCCCACATCCAAAATCCTAACACCCTCAAGTGGTCGACTCAGCGTAGTTGCGTTCAATCCAGCATTCAATAAGCCATCCTTGATAAATTTTACTCTCATTGGGTTTAATACGTGCAAGGTCCACAAACCACCGTGAACTGTATCCCACCATTCATCGCTTAATTTCGTAAAATGTGCAATTTCTTGGTCATTAATTGTTGTTTTTGATTTACTTTGCTGCTTAGATCCCACCGATGTGCTTAATTGTTGAAATATATTTTTTTTAAATCTTGTACCGAAGAAAATACCTCGAAATATGATACAACTTAAAACTTACCTGAAGCAAGCAGCTGTTTGGACTCGAAATTTTGACAAGCTATTTCTACTTAATGCCTTCATTTTTTCGCTGATTTGTTGCTATGCCTTAAATAACAAACCGAGTAATGAAAAATCGTGTTCAATATTGCTTTTAGTGCGCGGACTGTGTGGTGATGATGTGGTTGAGATTTGAAAGCTCGTATCAGTGAATTAAAAGAAAGTACATTTCAAGAAATTATCCGTACGGTACGAGTACGCGTAGAAAATAATGTTTAAAGACGCTAACTAGTAATTTAAGTATAAATGTATGATAGTTTATTAATTTTGGAGTTACTAAGTAGAGTGACGATTTTTCGGCTGCCAACATGTTGATTAATGAGACGCAGACGGTACGACTGACTGATAAGCTGTTTTTGCGGACCAACGCGCGATAAATAACATAATATGTTACGTAATAAATACTTATGTAACAAGTTCACAATATGTAAAAATATTGCAACACATTAGAAACTAAACTCGTATGTGTATTGCCACGTAATAAAGAACGACTATACAATGAAACACAGAATGAAAAGACAAATTGTCAGTTTGAAGAAGTATCAATTCGGTTGAGCTCCAAAACAAAGTTATTAAAACCATATATTTATAAACTCACTATTGCTTTAAGATTTATCAGTGAAGTTCTACTATAAACTTAAATTGATGAAAGACCTTAGAACTTGCTATTTATTTTACTAGAAAACTTTAAACAATAAGCATTTCAGGGTTCATCACTAAAAAAACTATACTCTTGGCGGACTTACATCAACAAAAATTACTATTATTGGTGTACTCTCTTTTCTCTATTACACCATTGATGGTAATAGTATTTTTAATTTATTATGTTTCTGTTTTAGTTATTGTATAAAGGTGGATATAATCAAGGTTAATATTTCTAGTAGAAAGTATTCTTTCCGATTATTTCTCTTGTTACTTTTATTTTATTTCATCAATTACAAATACATACATTTGTTACATACCTATGTAATGTTTTACAAAAAAAAATTATCCTCCTCTGTTGAATGATTTGAATGTCATAAAATTGCATGCCTCGTCAGAATTTCATATTTCGAAGTATTATTAATTTATCTATGATTTCAATATTGACATGAGTTTAGTACAAGAGAGAATTCCTTTAATCGCTTTATTGGACAATTTAAGTATTATGTCACTACGAGTACTGCAATGTGTAATTCGAAAATAATGTACGTCATTTTGATAAGCTTAAAAATTTTTACTCGCAGTTTTTTGCACATTTAATTTCAATTAGTGTACTTCTATAATCAAATCATGGTCACTGATGAATTGTTTAGTAAACCAGGCCATGTTGGAATAATCTATGTTATACTTATTAACAGCCTTAGCTGAAAGTATACTGAGGCTCAATGATTGAAACATCAGAATGTTATTTCCATGAATAGAAGCCTTTAACTCATCCACCGTATGTTCATTTATTATGTACACATGACCGCTTCCGTTGACCAATATTTTGCAGATCTGAAAAAATATCATCAAATTTTCAATTATGACCAAAGTCAAACATATATATATTCTATATGAACAAAATAATCTGCATTTTCAAATATTTATTCTACTCACGCTTGGACTATAATTATGCACGACTGCAAGATGAAGAGGAGTGTATCCGTCCTTATTTTTAGCGTTGACAGGTACTCCGGATTCAATGACAAATTTGATTACGTTTTCAAAGCATTTTACATAATGCATCTTGTCCACATCCCTAGTATTGTCTCTAAAAATGCTTCTGTCGGAGTTCTGAAACTGTTTACCATGAAAATTAAAAAAAATCTTTTCTTGGTAATTTAAACAATAGTTTCTTACCTCAGTAAAATGTATTAACTGTGTTTCAATGACGCGTTTCACTTCGATACCATTAAAAAATGGCCAATCCCCGTCAAGATTTTGAGCTCCATTTCCATCAATATTATTTTCAGGGAGATTGTTGCCGATATTGCGGCTATCCTAAAATTTTTTAACAACAAAGTGTTTCATGAATATTTTTTTATTCATGACATTTAATACATGCCTTATATTTTATTACGTAATAAATTAATAAAAATAAATTATTCGCTCAATTTTTATTTATTGTAGTGAATTTATTTAAAAAATTTAATTCTGGAACTTACTTTTATAAAGAAACAATGCAAAAACGTGTCTCCTGTTGATTGTGTCCTGAAATTATTTTTTGCAAAATCCACAATCAACTGTTTAACTTCTAACTGTTCTTCTTCAGAAGTTGCAGTTAGAGCAAGTATGTGTGACAGCCTTGCCATCCATTGTAGAACTTTTTCAAACTTTGAATCTTGATCCTCGTGATTTGCGGTATCCTTATAAAAGAAATTAAAATAATTAGATAAAAATTTGACACATAAGCCTACGTGTTGGTCTACTACGTATATCTAAATATTTTACTGTCCCGTGAAAACATAGTTATGCCTGTAAAAATGATAAAAAAAAAAAAAAAAAACAAATACCTTATTCGCTTCAACGAGTTTTGTAGACAAAAGTTGAAACATTTTTTTCACGTCGCAATAATTGAGAATGAATGAGGGGCGTAGTGAAAAGTCCGTACCACTGCGTAAATCATTATACAAGTTGGTTAATTCATGTATGATCTGACATATAAATATTGGAAAGCTGCCACACAAGATCTGTAAATTCGAGTGAAAAATATTTGTAACAAAGGACGAAAATATTTTATGGATGAATGTATCAATGAAAAAAAAAAACAATTAATAATGTGAGATAACTCACGGAATGTTTCTCCAAACGACTTTGTAAGGCCTGTATCCACACTTTGAATCGGTACTGGAATCTGTGGAAAATAATTACATTACATTGCAAATTTTTACCTAATAAAAAAATCCACAGTAGATAGTTGAGTTGTGGTCAATTTAAGACAGTAATGTTCACCTACAGGGTCATTTGAGACGCATTTGTGATAGGTGGTTGGGAGTTGAACACATTATTTAAAAAACAATCGTGCTGCAGTCCCAAAATCCTCATTTCAATTGCTAAATTTTCTAGTTTAAAATCTGAACTACTGTAGCCATCTAATTCCTCAGCAGTTGTGGACTCTGGCAGATTTAGTCCTGCCGTTGTTTCAAACTGTTCGTTATTTTCATCAAGACTTTGGCGGATTATTAGGCTAGTTTTCTTCAGAGCTTTTCGTAAAGTTTTGTACCCTATGCTCGATTTTTCGAACCACGCCAAATCTATGGAGGTCCCGTATAGTTCCCAAGCTTCGGCAAATCGTCCCTTTGGGTATGTCACGTTTTCAGCTGCAATAGTATTTAAATCTTGTTAGTTACTCACTGACAAAAAATTGAATATGTCGAGAAGATTTGATGGAAAATTTTTTTGTCTTAAAACGAAAACCAGTCAGGAATAAAAAGATTCAATTTTCTAGGAACATTTTCCCTAAAATTTTTAATTTTTATATTCCATCAGTACTTTTGATAAAATTGCTGATATTTAACTTTGAAACAATTTTTCATAAAGGAACGTACTCGTTAAAGGTTTATCACCCTATTTTTCTTCACCCTACACCTGTTTTCACCGACTGGTTTTTGCATCGTACGTCGTAATGTCGTTAATAAGAAAAAAAAAACCTTTTTATTATAATTTCTCATGGAAATATTTAGCTTACCAAGTAACAATATCATCTCCTTGTATTCAAGAGAAGCAAGTACCAGTGCATCCTGATTTTGATTGTCCCTTGCGTAAGGATCGGCCTCATTGTCCAGTAAAAACTTGACCATTGCCATGTTATTGTCTCTAACCGCGTAATGAAGAGCAGTACAGTTTTCATTGTCCCTGGCATTGACGTCTGCTCCATTTTGCAACAAAAGCGTGATAGCCTCCCTGAAGTTTTCCGCCACGCATTGCATCAAACACGTCGCGTTGTTGCAAGCGATTGGGTAATAACATTCCGACCAAGGATCCATGCTTTGGCAAGCATCTGCAATAATGTAACCGTAACGCGTTCGAGCATCAATAAAATAATCTCATCAAAGACTGCAGTATGTATTTCTATTGAATTATAAATTTATTCAACTTAAGCAATCAGATCTTGATCTTAGGAGCAGAATATCATTCAATATAGATTAATCGAACAAAATTTTCCTTGAGATTAAATAACCAATATTATTTCAATGAAATTTACAACAAACATATCCATATAAAAAAACAAAAAACAATTGTTTCTACTTACGCAAAAAACATGTTCGGCAGTCCCGAAACTCAGCAGACGGTTCCACCTCGAATCTCGCGTTGGGGTCAGCGCCGTGGTCCAAAAGGCACCTGACAACGTAAATTTTTTCAAATCGGATGGCGCACATCAACGGCGTCATCGAGCACTCGTAGAGATGAAATCCGCAGGTACTCCTCTTCTCAACGTCAGCTTTGCAAAATCTCAATAGGAAATCAACCACGTCCGTGTGGCCATATTTGCAAGCTTGGAAAAGAAGGGTACGTCCGTTTGTTGTTCGGTTGGTCAAATCCAAGCGCTGGTCTGGCGTTAAATTCATCAGCGACTTCTTTAATTCTTTGACACATTTTGTATTCGAAGTTGACGTCTTGTTTTGCTCCTTGCAGTACTGATGAAGGCTGGTGTACAGTTCGTTCAAATCTTCCATTGTCCCCTTGACTCGTTGATCAACTCGATTTTAAGGAATTGGAGCTAGCCTCGCCTTAACTGTGACGGAAATGTCGTCTATGGTGCAAATGAACTTGGACAGAAACTGTTATATTTGTTTAGCAAGTATTGTCGATTGAAGCTAATCTTCAACTGATACAGAAACGATGGATGGGATCGGTTTTATAGCTGGTTGCTGACCCTTCTTAATGGGGGTCATTAGTCATATGTGTCATTATGAGACATTTAATGGAAAAATTTGACGCATTTCTGATTTTATGATAAATTTATCCGAGAATTAAAGTTAATCCTTTTTAAATGATGTTTGTGATTCATTTACGAAGCATTGAATGATATTTGAGATATCGTATGGTTGATAATTGTTTTGGTATTGAAAATTTTGTCGTCATAGACTCAGGGTCATTAAATAATCATTGACTCTCGAATTGTTTTCACTAACCTATTAGTGTATCTCGATTTCATCGTAATATCTTAATCTAGGCTTACTTTTCAATGAGCTCACATTCAAAGGAGTTAATTAAAGTGAAAAATATTTTCAGTTTTCTACGGAAAATTCTTAAAATATAAAAAATGGGTAAATGAAATATTAAGCACAAGATAACTTGACTAATACTCATTTACCGATTTAACCTCACACGTACAGAGTGAATACCTCATTCTTCATCACTATCATCGATGTATAACCGTATTCCTTTTATGTATTTTTAATGGTAGAACATGGAAAATTGGATTTTCCGCGCCACCACTATAGTCTATAGACAGGAAAAAGCTATTTCTCATATGAGTATTCCTAAAAATACTTTTACTCATTAAAAGTCAATGTATACGAAGAAATCCACAAACAATATCCTGTTTTTGTCCCAAATTTTCAAATAAAATATTATTTTTTACGCCTACCATGAAGATGGGGTTAATTTTTTAATGGAGGTGGTACCGTTTTTCCGTGGTCTATACGCAATTATTATATCGATGGATAAAATGTGTACAAACGTATTTTTTGCACGTAAATCACTGAAATCTGTGTTCATGATTTGAAATAGGGAAGAAAAACGGGATAGTTCCTCATGTGCATTTTTCCATTATAATTTTCAGGACACGTGGCCCCAGACGATCGAAAAGTTCTGCGACTACGGAGTACCCGTGCTGGTGACCTCGTACACGGAGATGGAGTTGCCGCACGACTTGGTGCGCATTCGCGAGTACCGTAATTTAAAAATCGAGTTGGAGCCTAGGAGGAACCCATTCGCCTCGCAAAAACCGGAACGCAACTTTGTCAGTGACGATGTGACTCCTCTCATCTACAAGAACTACTTCTTTAGCCTAATCAGGGGAGTCCCTGGAAACGAGCACACGAGTGCCGATTCGAACTGATTTTACTATTTTAAGTCTGGTATAAATGTGGGTTGTTCTCGAATTAAAATACGTTATAAAATATAAAAAATACGTTATAAATATGTGTATAGACCTACTCTACACGCAATATGACGTTGGCCTTTTTAGCATTTATATCAGTCCAAACTTATATCAAAACATGTGCGTATGTCTAGACAACTTTTTTGCCATTCAAAGAGAAACGCCATTATTTCATAGGCTTTATGATGCTTTATTTTTAATGTTTTGTTAAAAATATGGTATGATTATTAAAAAATATTAGTCAGTAAGGTTATTCAGTATCTTATCATTTACTTAATTTTTTTTACTAGTAATTGTTTCATAAGTAATATTGTTAGATGACTGGAGACAGCTAGAAATTTTTTAAGTTTAATAAGATATGCTTAGTTTCAAAATGTATTTGTTATTGGGAAGTGTAAATTATTTATACTCAAGAAATGTTTGGTTAAATATAAAGGTAGTGAAAAAATAAAAAACATGTATATTTGTTTAAAATATAACTTTATTTACAAATTATGTATAATTATTTTTGGAATGTATCTGCTTTTCAGAAAAGCTGAAAGCCTAACAAGTTTGCTATATTAAAAAAATTGACTCTCGATTGTATCAATGATTCGTGAATCATATATAAACATCTTATACATGAATAGGAAAATACTGTTTAAGGTACAGGAAAATTTACAGGGAAATCTGCCATCGCCTCATACTTATATATGGTACATCAACATCGAGTCACAGCTGCAGCTGAAAAATAGTATTTTTACGCATAAACGAAAAATTTATACATTAATAAATTATAATCTGTTCAATTCGTTGTGTGGATAGTAAAATTCGACACTTAAAATTAATCCTAATTTGCTAGATTACTTGTATAATTGAAAGTATACAAAATATATAGCGCAACAGGCATTTCGGAATGCAGTTATGTACATGCTATTAAAATATGACTACTACGCCATCACAAAAATCACATAAAATTAATTAAAATGACTAACATTTTACAAATACGACGTACAAGACGAATAATACGCATTCGTGATTTTTCGTGATAGTTTACAACAAATTGGCTAAAATATTAAACTTTGTCACTATTTTACAATGAAAACTTTCTAATGAATAAACACTTTCATGATGAAGGATGCTTTACAAAAAAAGTTGTCTTGCTGTATGAAATTTCATTCAGAAAAAAATATGTGATAGCGGTTTCTTAAATGCACGACAAAAAGGAATCATCAAACTAAAACTTATTACAACATAGTACGCTGACGCTACAAGTGTTACATTTTGAGCAGATTATCTTAAAAATAATCCTCCCAAGTATTTTTTTAATTTTACACTTTTCTGGTGACAATTTGAGTATTCGTGACGAAATCTACGAAAAACTTGATAAATCTGGTACAACAACAGTATCCAAAAAATTCACGGATACAACGGCACAGGCATGACTGTTCACTCATCTCTCTCTTTCTCTCTCTCGCAGACAAGACGCATACTACATAAAATAAAATTCCTAACAAACGATTTACTATACACAATACCACAATCCCGTGCAGCACTACAGGGAGTAGTATCTAGGACGCAGAGACACTCTCATTAAATATATTTCATGATGTGACTTATAACAAGCGCGAGTATCAGGAAAGTCGGCACAAGGGCCGAGGCTGAACTGGTTCCGTATTTTTTGGTGTCGTAGTAGTAGCGTACGTACGACTGATCGCAGTGAGATGGCCAGTCCTTGAAACAGGCCGCGTAAGCCACCACGTGAGCTATGTAGTTCTGTTCAAAAGTACTGCGGAACAGGTGGGAATACGGTCCTGCGTGGAGTGAACAAAATAATTATTATAAATCACGTATGAATTAGTATGAAAAAAAAAAAAAAATAAATAAATAAAAAAAAATAAATCTATACTCACCAATAGCGTAGACCCCGACGTCTTCACCACCGTGGGTCTCGTCCTTGAGGTACCTGGCGGCAAAGTGCCTGTAGTACGGATTCGTTTTCTTAGTCTCGTCTTCCTCGAGGTTCCTCCAGGTTTGGTTGACAAAGGTCTCGTTGATGCGATGGTAATAGTATCCCGGCCCATTGGCATAGCTGAGCGTCTCGAAGGTCTGCGGGTTTTCGTTAGCCGTGGTCAAGCCGAGGATGTTGTTGCCCCGTTTGGGGTAGCCGTTCATCGTGAAGGCGTGCGAGTGATCGGCCGTCACGATGATCAGGGTCTCGTCGATGTCGACGCTATGCGCGGCTGCCGTCACCGCATCGTCGAGCTCCATGACCTCGTGCAGGGCCAGCTGAGCGTAGTTTTGGTGGTGAGCGAGGTCGATTTTTCCACCTTCGACCTGTTGACCGATAAAACATTTCTTCCTTTTATTGTCAATTATTGCTTTAATTTTATTCCATATCCAATGGCTTTTACGGCTATTCTATTTGTTTGCGACATTCATTTTCTTGAATTTAATCAGTGTTACATTGTATTTACTCCCTTACTCGTAGGAAGTGGATATTTTATCAGTATCACTAATTTATGATAATTTTTATCGTTTAAGGAGACAAAATGCTCTTGTACTATAACCCAGAGTATAATGTTTTTAACATAAAAATATGTACTTTTTTAAATCTTCAAATTTTTGTTTGGTTACTGTTATTTTTGGGCGCGTAATGTACGAAAATCGAACAATAAGACAAAGTTATTTACTAAATTTGAGCTGAAGCCACGTATGTCAATCACTTGACAAGTAGTCTATTAACGTGCCTACATACAGGAACGGACGTAGTGGGTACCATTTTGATCATTATCCTATTACTTCCAAAATTTGTTTTACACCAAAAATATTCGATCAACGTACATGGTCATTTTTTTTGCTGTGATAAAAACATAATTAACTCAAATGGTTTTATTTTGTCAGCAGTTGTGTACAAAAAAATTACTATGGTCATGGCTCGTTGAATCGAGCTTCTAGCGATTTATTTTTGCAGTTACGGGGGGCTATTTTTAACGTTAATAAAAGTCTGCTGAGCTATAAAGCGGATGATAATGGTATCTAAATCACTGTTACCACTTGGATTTTACGCTCATTGAACGCACGACTGACCTGATGGGACGACAAATATATATTGAGGATGTGCGTATATAACGCGATTTCTAAATGTAATCGTAACAATTTACAACAGAGTTTTGGGTGATTGGTCGTTATTAACTATTGTTGTTGTTGTTGTTTTTTTTTTTTTTTTTTTTTCGTCATCCATGCGATAAATTAATTAATAACAATTCAGAACATTGGACTGATAATTTCGATTTGACAAAGTAATAATTTTTTTAATTTAAAACACCAGTTTTAAATACAATGACACTATTTATGACAAGTATAGCTTCTAAAATTAAATCACCATCGCCAAAAACCAGCAAAAAAAAAAGAAAAAAAAAAAATCTAAATGAAACCCATCCTAGAAGCAAATAGATGAAAGTCGTGATTTGACTCGTGGTGATGCCCACACACGCGAACAAAATCATGCATTAGGTACACGTCGCACGCTGGTGATTAATAAATTATGGGAAGTCGGGGCTGGCATTAGCCGACAGCGTCGGGTCTAGCGTTACGCTGCAGTGATCTAGTGCTGACCTTGTCGCGCACTCAAGCTCGTGTCGCTCTTATAAATTTGCGATACTCTTTCGTTTGCAAATCGAGACTTTTCGTGTTTCGAAAACGAGTGAGTTGAAAATTTTTGCTTTAAATCCTAAATGCAGAATTTTCAAAATTTGATGTTTAAACAGGAACTGCGTATAAAAGTAATTTTACGACCATTCATTCATTGAATCCTTCACGTGTAATATTCTCAGCCAATTACACGAGGGGCTCGATTAATTATTCGAAGAATTTGTAGTTTGTTGCTATACTCCCAAGATCACGAGTATGATGACGCACTCGCATCTAGAGATAACTTAACCATTGATCGAAAAATTGAATAAAACGTTATAATAAACTTATGCCGGATTATTCACGGAAAATCTAACGAAACCTATACATTACACGCGATGACTTCTATATCCCAGGGTATTCATTAAATGAAAATAGATAAACTAATATTACACGGAAACATTATATTACTAATTATCGAACTCTTCACTTCTTCGATGCGTTTACGAGTATTTAATCACATGCGAGTGGACAGACTGCACGATACTTCGAACTGCGTGTCATCAGTCGTGTGATTATATGGATATTCAAAAATTAGAAAAGATACGTGATAATTGTCAACGATGGTTTAAAAGTCCTTGTACGTTCAAACAAAACGTAAATATTTATTAACGTAAGAAATTTCACTAATCGTCAATAGAAAAATGCCAAATAAAGGTAATGCTCGCTCAAATATTTTTTAACATATACGTACTTATACGGTTGTCAGTCACTTTTTAATATTTCACTTAAAGGCCATTCAATAAAATTGTCTCCAATAAAAGTGTTACGCAAAATTTGTGTAATTTTAATGGATGACACAACGGTTCTACGTTAAAACTTCCTGATTTCAAAATTGTGCCGAAAATCGTTGGTTCATTGTCTTCATTTTTTTTTGTCCTATAGTCTATTCAACGAATTTCTAACCATACAAAAATTAGTTCAAAATTCGAATAAAAAAAAATAACGTACCAGGAGGAAGAAGCCGTTCCTGTTTTTTCGCAACATTTTGATGGCCTGGACCGTCATGTTGGCTAATGTGGGAACCGAGTCGTTTTTGACTGCCGCGTACGGCAAGTGGCTATCGGCAAAGATGCCCATGAGTTTGTCGGTGGCGGTTACGTTGACAGACAGCAGTTCCTGAGTCGTGGTCACGATCTTAGCTTTAGGATTGGCCTCCAGCCAAGTTCTGTCCAGCTGCCGGCCGTCCTGACGATGGCAACCGTCACTGTCGAACGGCGCGCTCTTCAACCTCATGCCCATCGCACCAGCCCCTCCACCCATTATTACCTGAATAATCGAAAATTTTGTAAGCATTGGAGAACTGCTTTTTTTTTTTTTTTCTTGTTCTGCATTATTAATTTTTACTATTATTTTTTTTTATTTTGCAATGTAAATACGATTCTGAGAAGTGGAGTAAAAAGTTTTAAGTCAGTTTCAAAAAGTCCATGTTGTGTAAAAGGGATACCTTTAAAAAAATATTGTCAAATATAAAAAAAGCTCAATAATTAACCTGAACATTTTATAGGCCTACTGCAGAGAAATATTACAAAAAAAATAAAAGTTTGTTCATAAAAAAAATAAGAAAAAGGCGTTCAAGTGACAGTATTTTTTGAAAAAATTTTTTTAAGACAACTTTTAGGTAAGTAGGCCAAATTTTAAAAAATTAAAAGTTTTTAAAAATAAAATTATACTGTCTCATGGAGCAGTATTTTTAGAATTGTTTTATGGAACCAGAATGTCGATAATATATTTTAAAAATCACAGTTAAGATATTGATAAAAATTAAATCCATATTATTATGTTTTTGGAGACATCACGTATAAATGACTGAAGAAAAATTTCTCGTCAAGGTAAATTATTTCGTAAAAAATATTGAAAACTTATGTCTCGCGTGTCTGTCGGTATCTGCTATCTTATTTTNTTGTTTGCATATTGTAAAAAAAAAATAGTAAACGAGCATTTATAAAACAAGCGACTCCAACGCTAGTAAAAACACACGATCGGGCCTTTTACAATACAACCAAATTGCGCGAATGGTCAATAATCAACACAAACAATAATGATCATTTTAAGGCCGTGGCCACACCGTAGCCCTGAACCTCTTCCGGGCAACTTGACCCATTATATCCTTCGACGTGCGATGCTTATTTATAAGACACGTAGAATCGATTTTGATGTTAACACTTGACGCGTAAGTATTATTTTCCACTTGAGTCTCGTTGTTTTTTTTCTTGATTCCAGAATCCTTAGATTTAATTTTACCGGTCGTGTATAAAAGTATACTATCATTTGCTCAATCGGTACTTATAACTTATGACAGACATTGTTTTGGATTTTTTTCCGCAATGAGACGCAAGAAGTTCAACAAACAAAAGGCGGTTCAGCAATAATACAAACATATTTGAAAATGAACAACAAAACACTCGTTTCTTCACATCAGTGCATTTTTTCCTCTTCATGATGGCACAAAAAAAAAAAAAAAAAAAAAAAAAAAAAAAAAAGAAACAAAAAGAAGACGCAGTGCTGCTCGGAAAACTAGTTCACCGTGCACGTGTATTTAGATACGATTAAAATTTTCTCGAGGCAGAACATGTGCACGTGCAAATGCAAATTTAAAAAAAAAAAAAAGATTACAGTATAAGAAAGTATGGAGCTGGTCGCTGAACTGCTCACCTTGAACTTGTTTCCGGGTGCGTCCTCGACCAGCTGGCGAGCTATATCCTTGATACAGACGTCTCGATACCGGCTTGGTATTTGACTGTCGCATTCCCAGTCTCGGTTGTTCGTGTGGGCGTACAGGGCACCTGGGGTTGCGTGCGTGACTCGTGTCGTTGTCACGAAGCCTGGAAAATTTTTTCATGGGCTGTTTTCTTTTTCACTGATTTTTTTTTGTTTTTTTATTTTTTTAACATTTTTAGTTTTCGTTGTTTGGGTGGCAGAAAATAAAAACCAAATTTTTGTTGTTCGCCAAAAAGAATTTTTGATTTTTTTTTGGCTGATCCATATTTTTTTTAGTTGATCTGGTTAATAATTTCAATACACCAACTAATTTTTCATCAATTTGACGATTTTCATTATCTTGATATCCACAGGGAAAGCACATTTAATATATTTATTAATAAATATATCTCAAACAACGTTAACAAATATGCAATCAAAAATATTTAGAAAGAACGTATGATTTTTAAAAAATTGTAAAGAACATAATTATTTATTTTTGTGTAACATTTTTGGAGTGCAATAATTAATACTCATTTTTTGAGATACTTTTAATTGTGTTTATGAAAATAAAATTTGCCAAAAGATGATAAAATGGTGAGTTTTTAAAATGGAAACCAAAAATTTTACTTTATTTTACTATTATTTTGTCCCAAAATTAATATAATAGGTAATAATCTAGCACCCTAAATTGGCTAGTTCAAATAAAAACTTTGTTTCACCCGAGATTGTACTTCTGTTTAATTATTACCTACAATAAAATATTTTATGGATTTATTATAATAATCACGGTGTGCTTTTCTAGGAAAAGTTCATTTAAACGATCACAGTATTTTTTAAAACCATTATATTACTTTTTATTTTTACTAGTCTCCTCGTATCCAATTTAACATTCTGCTATTAACTGATAGTTAAAAAATAAAAATAGATTTTATGCATACGGAAGAACATTAAAATCATATTTTATTCATAATATTTGTTGCAATGAAAGTACACGAAAAGTCCTCGGATTGTATTTTTTTCAAGGTGTACGAATAAGACTGAGTTTTTTTGCACTTTTTTTATAGTATCTGCCTCGATCTGCCAATCATGGAGGAAGTCGTAACGGTGCAATACATCGACAATACACAGACATGAGAGACATTGCCATTTGTATAATTACGCGGAAAAAAGATCGAATAGTCTAATTTACATAATAATCATGTTGAAGTAGCACCTTTTTCGTGTTAACGTTATTCAGTACCCACCCGCTGGATGTATCAGTAAATAGAATAGTTGCTCGATTAGTTTTGTTATGGACAGTTATTTCACTAATCACGTTGAAATTTTACGGCCTCAAAAAAACTTTTTTTTGTACATTTAAAAATTTTCAATTTCAGTGGTAGCTCAATCACTCCACGCCGAGAGTTATGTAACAAATATTTCAATTCATCCTTGCTTATTGCAAGAGGAAATAATTATTACTTTGACTGTTCATTAAAAATTGAAACTTATGCTCGTCACGTGTCTTCCCGTGTATTTCCTCCTCTAAAAGCAATTTATTTATATATTTAAAAAATGTTTTATAGTATAATATTTTAGTATATTTTATATATCATATGGAAAAAAAATTATTCCTGTACATTGAAGTATTATGTAATGTGCAAGGCAAATAATTTTTTTTCAGGTAATTACGTAAAAAGGAGCTATTTTAAATTTAAATTTTGAATTTTTTAATTTACCTTAAATTTAAATTAGGACTTAATACGCACGTGACTGCTTTTAACAATTAAAGTTTAAAAATATTACCAGTATCTTATAAATTTTAGATTGATTATTCTCAATTATTAATCTGCGTAAAGAGCCACTAGATATAAAAATTACAGATGGAAAAAATCAGTGGCTTCGTCTGAAACGAAAGTCAGAAGAACTGGATGTCATTTATAAAAGCGGGACGAATTTTATACCAAATTAAACATGTAATGGTGAACGATTATATTTTGATTTAGGGAAATGAGATAAGTTGAAAAAAATCATTCATTTAAATTTTGCATTTAATTTGATAAGCCCATCAAAATACACTGATTGTATTGTCAGCCGTGGGAACAATAAACGTTAAATTAGCTTATCGAGCGAATAAAAAAAAAAAGTCTAGCGAGTGAAAGCGCTCACGAGAGCCTATCGCAGTCAGGGTCGCGTTCGTGATCTCCCTATGGTTTTATAAACGATACACGCGCGAGTGATCGCTTTTTCCTCGCCTATGTAACTTTACCAAGGCTCTATGCACAATACGCAATTATACGCGCTACTGATTGATCGTCCAGTTCGTCAATAATTATTTATCGTAGTAACGATTTGCAAATGATTTTTAATAATACAAAAATTTGTAAAGACAATTTTTGTGTAAACTCAATTTTTGGTGAACAACGTGCATTGTGAAATTATTTTCATTGGGCATGTACAAGCAACGAGGTCGCTATGTAGATATATAGACTCAGTTATAATCAAGTAAGGTTTTTTTTTTTACAGTATTCCTAAAAAAATCTTGCCAAGGATATGATTTTTCTCTCGCTCGGAAGGTTCGCCTCGAAAAACATTCCTATAGCCATTCGAGTGGAGAGCGATCGTTTTCTCGATCTGCATCGCCGAACCAGCAGATAAACGCTCCTCGTCTGTCAATCGAAGGATTGCATAGACAATTGGACGCTCGATAAAAATCGGTACTATTATTATTATTATTATTGTTATTTTTTTCTTTCACCCTACAAATAACTCCCAGAAAGTTAAAATATTCCATTAAAAAGTAACAACATAACTAATTGATTGTGCCCAAATCACTGTGGCCGTATATGCGTGGTTGTAATGTTACGTAATCATCAACTCGTGACGTAGCACTTTTTCGAGTGGCCCTTGAAACGCACATTCATGTAAAAAAATCACGCGCCAATAATGGCAAAAGGTTTTTGTTTTTGCCACAGCAAACTTGTAGGTCCGACGCGCTGGTGAGCCGATTTCCCGAGACCCCCTCGCCGACGCTGGCGCGACGAAAGATATACCCGAAGCGTCGCTTATCGCTTCTCTTTCGAGTGTCAATGGTCCAATTTACGTTGAAAAGCCAAGCACCGATGCCTTTTACTGGACGTGATAAGCGTGCGACACACAACCGAGTCTTCGCCGAAAAGTCGACCGATTGTTTTCCTCGTCAATAAAAATACCCAAGTGAGCACAAAGGCCCCCTCGACGACGTTATCTCGAGAACGTGGCATAGCCTCGTGGCACAGTCGAAACAAACAGGATCGTAAAAAGAAAATCCCAAAGAGCGGTGGGCGCGACGCGCATTCCCCGGGCCGCGTACCTCGACAAATTAGTGCCCAAATTACCTGTGTCCATACCGCTCTCCTGGGCCCAACTGGCTATGGTTGTCAGGTAGCTCTCCTCGTTGACCTTTTTGTCGCAAACGTTGTACTTGGCCCCGTGATTGAGGCCGAGCATGCGATATTGGGCCTTGACTCCCGAAAATATGGCCGTGGCCGTACCCGCCGAGTCCGGCACCTGTTTGTCCACGTTGTAAGTCTACACGGGAAATCGTTAAATCGTTTATTTGGAATTTTTTTTTTTTTTTTTTTTTTTTTTTTTCTCTGTCGACTCCAACGTGCTCGTCGATGCTCACTTTCGAGAATCCGGTGCTGGGGAATTGCTCGAAAAAGAGCTTGTACTCCTCGCCGGATTTACCCTTTCGCTGGCCCTTGAATATCCGACCGGAGGTGACCGTCGACGGGCCCATGCCGTCTCCGATGAAGATTATCACGTTCCTCGCGCGCTTCACGTTGTTCTGCATCGTCAGGACCCGACGGAGATTTTCCTGTCCCGATTTCATCCAGTAGGACGTGTCTGTGGATCACATTGGTTTTTTTTTTTTTTTTTTTTTTCACGCCACGTGCCTTTGCTTCGGTGCCTTGTTTGCACGTGCACCAACATCAATCTTATCTAATGCGCTCTTGACACAAGTTTCACCGGGGATAAGCCAAAAACTTTACGAGCTTCCTTTACGCGTGTCACCAATCGGTATATTTTTGTTTGGTTCTTTCTTCTTCTTTTATTTAGCAAACCGATCACCGCTCGGATGGATGAAACTTGGCAATGGATCATCCGAGCGAGCAAAAGAAACGATGGAAAAAAAAAACACTAACCTTCGATTTGTACGTGCGGCGGTGTTTCGGGCGGAGCCCAGGGGCTAGCCGCCACGATAGCGTCCAGCACCAGGATGATCACGAGGGCGCCAACTGCGGGAGCTCCGAGCGTCGACTTCATGGCTCGTTATCCAGAGGCTTGGTACAACGCGGGTGTAGTGCAGGCTCCCGTGGACTACTGGTGCATCAGCCGGAGGTGTCCTCGGGCGCACGTGCGATTGTTGCTCGCGCCTATCGGGAGACGAGCGCCAGATGAAACTGGTTGCGATGGGTATACTGTGGAGAAGAGACGACGCGGACGTTGGTACATGATATATAAGACTACGGTTTTTATGAATTTTCTGGAAAAAAAAAAAAAACCTTTGCTTTTTCATACCCCGGGCAAAATAATGCGTGTATACGATCACCGTTCAGTTCCGTTTGGCTCTTACTTTTATCCTTCCTCGGAAGTTACGTAAAGTGTGTGTGTGTGTCTTCGGTTTCCTGCGCGTCTAGTCCACTGAGGTCGAGTCGATCATACTAAATATACACGCGCGCATGGGACACTTGGGCAATTTGCGTGTACGAGCTCTGGGTTTCATTTTTTTTTTTTTTTTTTTTCTTAACCACTCGAATATTGTTTCGGTGAGTCGGTGTTATATGACGAGGGTGAGTGTGAACTGTACTTTTACGGGGACACACCGAGGGGATAAGTAACGGCACGTGTCTGTTTCCTTTTATTTATTGATACGCGACGGTGCGCCCACACACACGATTCGCAAACACGGAACTGTGCACATGCGACAAATGTTGCGCAACAATTATGGTCTCTTTGGTCGACTTTCGCAATTATCCAGTTAACGTGACGTCCGATCGGTGTAGTTTTGATACCGTGCGGCTGGCTTTTCGCGCAAAATTAATAAAGATAGCGAAGGCACGCTTTATCACGTGCTTTATTTTATTTTATTTTTTCGAGGTGTTTTAATGATGTACGCGTGTATTCGCATTCATTGTTAACGTGTCGGTGGTATTGTTTGGTATATACAATGAACGAGTGTTGCTTGAATTAAAGTGCGGGATGTTTGAGAGTTAATAAACGTGATTTGTAAAATAAAAAAAAAATTTTTTATTCATGTTGCAAGTAAAATTAATCGTACCTTGGACTGATAACAACAATAAATAAATAATCTTGTTTCACGAAAACAAAATAATAAAAACGGTAAATAAATCGTGGCAACGTGTTAAATTTTATTGTGCTTATAAACTGAAATAATGTTTGTTACAGTGCGACAAAATATTTTTTTTTTTTTTCTTCTTTACGAAAATCTTATTTAAATCTTGCAAGACCTAAACAATAAGGAAAACCTTTTTTTTTAATTGTTATTACATTATTACAGTAAAATAATTATTCAAGTGGCTAAAATAGCTGTAAAAAAGCTATGCTTTCTTTACTTTGTTTCTCAATTACTTGCTCCTCAAAAAGTTAATCTAAAACTGAAAATCAGATAACTGCTGCTGATCGATCAAAACTTGGAGTTTTTTTTACGTTTTTTTTACTCTAGTTATCTTTTTATGATTGATTTTTTTTTATCAATATCAGATGAAAGTGTAGCGTTATTTTACAATCACGAAAAAAATGATGGATACGTCATTCCTTCAAAAAAAAAAGACAAGTTTTTTAGGATACCTGATATTCACAAAATTGTTAACACAATATATAGATTATTTTTGCTATCTGAAAATAAACTTGTTGAGTTACCAAGACTCTGAATAAACTATGAGCGTTTTAAAAATGTTTTTCTTTGTCTTTTACTCTCGATAGGAAAATATTTTTCTTTTTCGTAAGGGGCCGACGAATACATGTTTATCCAAAATATCGATCATCATCCATCTCTATTTAAAAACATGAAATACATGCCCTACCTTTTGATCAATAAAAAACCCAACTAGAAATGACAACATCGGAACATCCAATCTTGGCTGTGAGCAGGCCACCACACAATCTCTATGTATTTAATAAAAATACTAGCTCAATGGTAGCACGTGCACGCGTCCCCCTATTTTTATAATGTTGTAATCATCGCACCTTACCTGGAAATAGGTCGATTTGGTTGTGCAAAACGAGGCCTCGATCAAATACTCGACGAGTTCATTGGCGTTTCCGGCCAATGGTAAAATATATATATAAAAAAAAAAAAGAAAAAAAAAGAAACCCTCTCAAATAAGGGAAAAGTAAAACCACTCTGACCTCAAAATCGGACAAATCGTCGAGTTCTCGGTCCAATATACTGCCAGTACTGCCTATGGGGTGCAAGGATCCAACACGGTTCTAAATATAGATCTCCGGTATACCCTTCCTCTCCAAAGAGCACAGCCGACCTGTTGACCCAGTTATCGTCGCACAGCCGATGATCCGATGATACGTCCCAGTGTGCCGATCTCCTCGTGCGTGCACCGTCTATTATACTCGCACGCGCAGACGAAGGGCAGATAATGCACGACAAAAGAGGTCCGAGAGAAGCGCGTCCCCCTGACGGTCTGCGAAGGTGCTTAGTAGGCCCCGGCACTTATATACTCAATGATAAAAGCTCTGATGCTGCGGGCCGGCCGGCGCAGGAGTGACAAAGAGAGTAAGTATAGGAGCTCTTCAGCTCTGTAGATCCGAGCGTAGGTGTGTAGGTACTTGGTTACCTACATATTTATACATACGCTTATACGTGTTGGAGTTTGAGCGCAGTTGATCGTCGTGGTGGCGTTGTCATGTTTTAGTGAGTGTTGGTAAGCTAAATACAAAAGATATGAGGGGGAGAAGTGTCGCCAAGTGCGCTCTCTCTCGCGGAGTTTGGCAGTGGGGAGATCGGCGAGGAAGAGGTTTGAGGGGGGGGGGCTGGGGGCTGAGGTTATGATGTATACATTGGAGAGCAAGAGAGAGGATACGGATGGGGGATCCCTCGGTGTATTCCTCCCTGTTGAGCATCTACTTTTATATACGTTTATGTGTAGGTATACACGACAGACATGGGCATTTTTTGAAAAATTTCATATCAATACTTTATTTGAATTGTAATTAAAATTTTTCAGTCGTTTAGTTACTTCATTTAAATACTACAATTTAATCGAATACTGTGACTTTGGTTTGTTATTTGAATAAAATATTATATTAACTATAATTTCCAATTGAATAATCCCCGGGCCGCGTACCTCGACAAATTAGTGCCCAAATTACCTGTGTCCATACCGCTCTCCTGGGCCCAACTGGCTATGGTTGTCAGGTAGCTCTCCTCGTTGACCTTTTTGTCGCAAACGTTGTACTTGGCCCCGTGATTGAGGCCGAGCATGCGATATTGGGCCTTGACTCCCGAAAATATGGCCGTGGCCGTACCCGCCGAGTCCGGCACCTGTTTGTCCACGTTGTAAGTCTACACGGGAAATCGTTAAATCGTTTATTTGGAATTTTTTTTTTTTTTTTTTTTTTTTTTTTTTTTTTTNTCCTGGAGAATGTTTTTAAAATGTTAAAATTAAAATGCTCTTTGTATTCATTAAAATCGTTAAATCGTTAATTTCAAACACTTATAACTATTAGCAAAAAAATTGTTAGTTAAAAAAAAAATTGTATTTGACTAAAAAAAAAAAATTTCTTTTTTTTTTATGTATATACACTTGAATTTAAATGTTTTCTAATTACGACTTTGCCCATGTCTTAGTATACGCTCTGATAGCAGGCACACCGCTAATCTTGACGTAATCGATATTTATCATAATGCACACATCGAGCTGTTGTATGATCATTTTGTAATTCGCGTACTTCACACGCTAAATTCGTCTGCTTCATGTAAGTATTTCTAGTGTTAAATCCACAGAGAGTCACACTGGTTGTAGAATCGCAGCTGAAGGTGGTCCTAAGTATATGTCCACGTAAGCCTCATGTGACTTCAGGTGTTCACAAAATGCAATAGGGATTAAATCAACTTGTGTGTGCTTTTAGGCAATTTAGGCTTTAATTCGATGTTTATGAAGCGTTGTAAAAATCGCAGCAAATTAAGATATAAATTTTTTATAGCTACAGTGTATGCTTAAAGATTTTGTTTTTTTTTTAGCAGGATTTGCGATTCGATGGTAATAATCCATTTTTTATATGTTTGGATTTTGCATTTATTTGTTTGTCTCTTGAAAATGCAGAAAAAGTGTAAGAGGGTTACGGTACAGTTGCTCGAGCCCCACTGACAACGATTTGCCATACATGTAATTTTTGTATGAAATTCATTTAAGATTTACATATTGTGTGACCAAATTATTGTGTGCACCATGTTTTTTCACAACATTTAATAAATTCATACAATTATTGGTTCAAGTTTTGTTCCAAAACAGAGTTAAGGTTCTTTGGTTCTATGATGCAGTACATAAATATTATTTTTGTCATTAGGATGTATTTGTAATGATATTTTGTTTTTTTAAACAAGGTAAATTAACTTAATATCTAAAAATATTATTATACTGATTTTATAAAATGTTAGGCGTCCCAGTATTTTTTAGTATTCACAGCAGCTCTTTTAAAGTAAAATACATGGGCTACTTTTATTTTAGGATTGAAAATATATTACACACCAGTAGAGCAGTCGTCCCTAAAAAAAGTATTACTAGTGCAGTATGTTGATAATACCATAGGTATGATTATAAAATTTTATTTCGTACAAACGTATACAACATCGAAAGTAAAAAAAATGTATCTACCTCTTTCTTCCACCGTGTTAGTGGTAAAAAGATAGTATTGCTTGTACACCTGTCAATGTATTTTGACAAATTTGTTAATCAGCGGTACAATAGCAGGTGTTGATTTCTACAGCTTATACATATATTTTTCCACTCGTTGGCTCGCAAAAATTTGTTTTTCAAACAATGTATGTTATTTGTGCTTTTCCAAGTAATCGGTACCCAATAGTAAGGTAAACGTATTTTTGTGTGAGTCTCTTATTCAGAATTTCACTGCACGCTAAGCGTCAAGATTAGCATCGATTACATTATAATCTCACGTTATAAATGTTAAACCACGTATTAAGAGGAAAGTATAATCCATACGTAACAACAACTTTTATTTGTCTCAAAAACGAGTTCATTGTAAAATTTGGGGAATTTCTTTGTCAAAAAATAAAATAAAAATTTAATTACCAAAAATGATCACAAAATTAAGTATATGAAAAACCTTTGTATTGAATAAATGAATTAAACTATTTTTATTCATCGAAATCCTAATTTAGTCAAGTGACACTTATTATTAAGCGAATTACTGACATAAAATGTTTATCAAATAGAAACCACAAATATTAGTTCTGTTTTATGTAATTAATCTCATCTTTAGATTTTTAAGTATTTATTGGTTAAAACAATGGGATGATCGTGAACTATTCTAGAATAAAAAAGATGTATGTACATCCCATCCATCCAACGTGTAAAAATTTCTTCATCATGACAGTATTTTAAAAATATTTAAATGACCTGACAATGCCTACAATAAATTTATGTTTTATACCTAATAAAAATAAAAATATTATTTCAATATTCGAATTCTAAAAAAAAAAAAAAAAAAAAAATTTCAATCGATTTTTCTCAAAATAATATCCAGTTGCGAACGAAATTCCATCGCTTCATTATCTTCAATATTATTTCTGACAATATCAATTCTGCAGTTACATATTTTTCATAAGCCCTCCGATAAACATCCAATTAATGCATTCGCTACCACATATATATACTTATATAAGTCCGATAGTACAACAAATTATGATCGAAGCGTGATGGCTTGTGGAATAATTTCAAGGAAATGATAAATTGTGCAATGTCGTTTGAATGAATGGAAAAGAAACAGTATGGACGATTGGCGCCACGTTAGACTGATAAATCAAACGCTCGTCAAAAATAGCGCGCCGAGAGTCGTGAGTGTATACACAAATTTTGACTATTTTTAGGTTCCATCTATTTCATTTTCTCTGCTGTGTGTATTTTGGTAGACAATTACGTAACGTGACCGAAAAAAATGACTAGCCCGTACGATCGGAAATTTCTGGCTTATCGATGTATTTACTCTATTTCACATTTGTTCAAAATGTTTACATTTGGTTCCCCATGGAACAAAGACACAAGTGAGAATGGATTTTTCCTATCTTGAAAATGTGTACACAATAAGATGAACAATAAACTACAAAGTGCAAATCTTGTCTGTTTTAAGAAGTGGAATTTTTTTATGAAAGATGTGTTACCTACATTTTTGACGGCAAGTAATGTCGATATTCTTACATGAAAAAATTAAGGATGCTGTGTTTATTATTGTAGTGAAATTGAGAGAGAATTAGAGAGAAAATATTAAAAAATGACCCAGTTTTTCCATCTGATACTTGCTATCTCCGTACATTGATAATTTATTCGATTTTTTGTGTAATCTTTTAAAATACGGCAAAGCAATTATCGAATTTTACGTGATCTGTATGCGATAAAAAAATGCAAGTAAAATTATTATATTAATCATCAGGTTTGATCGGATCTTAAAAAAAAAACAAAACAAAAATTATATTCCTTGCTAAATTTTTTGGTACTAAGATTGAAAAGCAGTTACTGATCCCACGCCAAAAGTAATTTCATTTTTATTTTATACGATTCTACTAATAACAACAAACACAAATCAAAAAAAATGTTAACACCGTTTATTAATACATTATAGATAATTTTATTAATATAAGATGTAATAAAATTTTTTAGAAAAATTAATTGTTTATCGAGAGATCCGATTTTTAAACACTTTCAGGTTGTACCCTATCTTTTACATTCCAATCAAATTAATTAAAAGAGATATTTATTAATACCACTTTTTTAATAATCAACCAATTAATGTGTAAATTTTTACGTAAATATACCAAAAGAAATTTTTCTCTCAAATATTTCTCTCACAAAAAACCTGATTGATTTTATAAAAACTTTCAAGTAAAACAAAGCACTTTTTATTAATCTTTATGAAAATAGTACGAATTTATCAAAGAAATTTTTCAAAATTTTTTTACAAGTTACAATCTTCTTTTATTCGATTCCAAACAATAATCAACATTTAAACAATTTTAACAGTTCCCCTTTCTATTAATTGAGACTTTGCCATCATAATTTAAATCCACATAACAGTATTTTCATAATCTTAGAAAACAATTAAAAATTTAATTTTTTTCACATCTGTAATTATGACAGTCATTTTATTTGAAAAAACTTATCACTTTAATTTTTAGACTCTGAGTACACACATCTTTGAGTGTAATTGTACTTTTAAAATTGATCCGTGTAGTTAGCTACTTACCTAGGATTTATGTAGATTAAAAAAATGTCTTACGGTACATTTCTATCAATATTGTCATCACAGATGTAACTTTATTTATTTTTATTGTGTGTTTTATCATACCTTACGTCATCATGATGCTTTCAGGATAGCTTCCAAACAGTTTGGTACACGTATGCGTCATTGGGACAGAACCCAACAAAAACTTAT